TCTCTCTCTCTCACACACACACACACACACACACACACACACACACACACACGAACGATTCATTCCGATTTTGCTCAAAAAGTGGCAGTGTATATTTCCACGTTTCAGCGGAAGATTCATTCCGTTTTTGCTCGTGTGTGTGTGTGTGTGTGTGTGTGTGTGAGAGAGAGAGAGAGAGAGAGAGAGAGAGAGAAAGAGAGAGAGAGAGACTATTCGACCTCGCGGCTCGTGCCATGCCACTTCCATCGATAGGATGAGCAACATCCATTGAATCTTCGGCTAGAACATGGAAATATACACTACCTGGTTGAATATGGCCGAACGCATCATGCTACTTCCAGCGATAGGATGAGCAAAATCGAATGAATCTTTCCCTAGAACATGGAAATATTCACTACCTGGTTGAACATGGCCGACAAAACCATACCCAAAAGAGAGCCCGTTCATAAAGTGGCGCCGACACCGACACCCCCCCGGCGCGGCGCGAAAAAAAACGGTAGCCAAGAAAGAGCCCGTTGTCCACCCGCAGGCAACCCGACTCGGCCCCGGCCTCACCTGCCTCCACACTGCTGCACCGACCTGTCTCATCTGGTACCGTCCCCCTGCGCCCCCAGACGGCCCGTCGACCTGCCTCCACACGGCTGCGCGGCTCAGGTAGTGCCGCGATCACGTCTGGGACCTTGCCTCCACCACCAATGTCTCGCGTGGGCCCGTCACGCGAGACCCACGTTTTCCTTTAGGGTATTAGAGAAAACACAAGAGCTTTCAACCAAAGAGTTTCCTCTACAAGCATCATAATCTCTCTCTCTCTCTCTCTCTCTCTCTCTCTCTCTCACACACACACACACACACACACACACACATGCACGGTCTCACTACCCTTTCCCGCCTCCCTATTACTAGAACACAGGGCTCTCTCTCTCTCTCTCTCTCTCTCTCTCTCTCTCTCTCTCTCTCTCTCTCCCCAAAAAAAAAAAACGTTATAATGGAATGGCCCGCACAAATCGCTGTCTGAGATTCCTGCAAGTCCTGAGAAAATGTTGTTCTTTTGGTTTGTTTTCTGTGTATTTCGAGATTTGCTGTGCCTTCTAAGTGTGTGTGACCTGCCACTAACACGCATGTGCCGCGTGACTCAGCGTGCTCGCCTGAGTCCAAGTCCTCTGTTGGCCGTGTTTTGGTTGTGCCTCGACCAGGGACAACGTAGGGATAGAGAAACGGCCAGGGGCAGAACGGAAAGTTGGCAGTGATACGCTGGGGTGTAGCTTCACACCCAGGGACAAAAGTAGACTTGGCTAGGGGCACAGAAGAGATTTTCCAGCAATTTGGCAGGGCCTGCAAGAGCCCGGTAAGGTTTCCTGTAGGTGATGATAGTCCAGGGCCTGCACATGGGCCTGCACGTGGGCCAGCAATTTGGCTAGGTGTACTAAAAGCAGGGGGGAACATGCCATAGGCCTGGTGCACCCTGCCGCGGCTAGTTCTCTCACTCGTTGTTGGTGTTTATTGATGATAGGATGACGGCGGAGATGATGGAGGTGAGAAGATAGAGAGCTGGCTGACATTGGCTCCACCTTGTGTTTATCTTCTTCTTCTTACTCCACTCGTCATCCTCCATCCTCTCTTGTCTTGTTCTTCTTCCAATCGCTTTCCTTTAGAGTTGCAAATGAATGGCATTGTCTCTTTGTGAGTTTTGGATTGCGAGCTGAGTGATATTTGACAACCCCAAACGTATTTACGAGTCCCACAAGCATGATCAATTTGGCGTAATGCTCTATAAGACTATGGCTCGTGGCTGCAGAGTCCATACCTTTCCCTCTCATTACATTCTTTTCACCTGGCTGTGTTCCTGGCTTCACCTGCAGTTTTTCACATCAGCCCAATCACGAAACAACAACAGCAACAACAAACAACAAGCATGCCACAATTTAGAGTCACACCTTAGATTGCTTTTTCCCTCCTTCCCGAAAGATAGAATTTTTTTTTAACACATGCCCACTCTCATTTATTACAACTTCACAAAAACAAATATCACGAGCTACAGTGTCGCACACCCCGAAGGCCGGCGGCCCTTGACTGGTCGGCTGACCAGCTGACTGCAGCTGACTGCTCAGCTGGTCAGCACCTGCCGGCCAGGGGTCCTCGGCACCCCTCGCGAGAAAAAATAAATAAATAAATCAATTGGGTCCAGAACCCCTAATTACCCCACCGACACCGCTGTGATGTGTGAAAACTCGTGTGTGTGTGTGTGTGTGTGTGTGTGTGTGTGTGTGTGTGTATGCGTGTGTGTGTGTGTGTGCGTGTGTGTGTGTGTGTGTGTGTGTGTGTGTGTGTGTGTGTGTGTGTGAGATAGAGAGAGAGAGAGAGAACAATTGCCCTTAAAACCCCTGCAGGTAATCCTAGAGGCCCCTGCAAATAATTAGCAAAGGCGTCCTCTCCACGAAAGTGGCACTTCTCGAACACATTGCAGGGCAGCAGGTCCGTGTTTCAGCAGTTACGGGAGCACGGAGCACATGATTATCTGGGCAGTAGCAGGCCAACTCACCAAGTGATTTTCAGGGCTTCCCTCCACTACTCACCAAATGTGCAAAACTAGAATGAATCTTCTGCTAGAACATGGAATCATACGCCGCCATATGTTTTGTCTTTTGTGCAAGTGGTTACGAGTGGAGCCAGGCCCTTAGGGCCACTGCTCGTAGGAAAAGGAAAACAAAAGAAAGAAAGAAAGAGCGGAAGTAAGTAGTTGTAGCCCATAACTGCTGGAACACAGACCTGAATTCGGATCCAGAAGATATATTGCTGGCCTGCTCCTCGCTCATCCGAAATTCGTCGAGTGTCTCCGCTGGGATATAAGAGCCCTGCACATTCTCTGCTGGGGGCCCTTCAGAAAAAAAGCTACACGCAATGAGGAATACGGGACCCTTAAAATCTGTAGGAGGAAGGGGCACATCTAGCTACCTCAGCCACCCTCAATACCCTTATACACCCCTACAGGGGCACATCTAGCTACCTCAGCCACCCCCAATACCCCTATACACCCCTCAGCACCTCCAAATCGCCCTTCAACACCCTCATTACCCCCCCCCAATACCCCTTATAACCCTCCTATACACCCACAGACCCCCCCCCTACCTCCCTGCATCCCCAAAAGTTTCTCAGCGGATTTGGGCTGTACTCAGCAAGCGCAGTACAGCCCCTAACTCAGATTTGGAAAAAAATCAGTGGATGGCTGTCAGCAGGCATGCAACCCTGATGAGCTACAAATTCATTGGCACCCCCAAAATACAATGCATTACGCTTACGACTCCAGAACAACAGGAGAGATCCCGCCCCAGCAATGAACTAACACGTTCCATTGTTTCCCTTTTTTCTTAATGCGGTCCGATGGACCAAGGATTAGATAACCTTCCTAGTATTAGCCAATTTGGTACATCAATACATCTTTCTATGCTGATACCCATCTTTCTGATGTTTACTAGCTTTTTGTTGTTAAACCGATCACATGCCAGAGCCACAACAACATAGAGGCAACTAATAAAGGGGTGGGAGGGATTTTCTACAAGGCAGAGACCAGTTGCAGTTTTCATGGCAGGGACTGGCAGTGACCATCCCTTCATAGTGCTTGGAGCAGAGATTATGCCATGCACATGCCAATGGGACTGTGCCTGCATGCAAACACAATGACATGGCGCAGCTGCCGTCCAATGCACGGGTCTCCTCACCCCTTCAGTGGAAGACTCCGTCTGACCTGCACAGGCAAGAGACAGAGAGCCTGGGAAGGTAGATGGGAGGGGGAATGGTCAGTACGATTGTTGTCCAGAAGCTGCAGAGATTGTGACCGCACATCCGCATACTGTTCCTGATTGACGAGCCAAACCGAGTGGGACTGCGCCACTCGGGGATAGTATGAGGTAATATTACGCAGTGAGTGCACCCTGCCGCCAGTATGGCAATAGCACTGAAATGACCCGGGCAACGCAGGATGTCCACACGGATACTCGGGTCTTGGCCAGGCACATAATTCTGCAAACGGGCTCGCAGTCCAAGTCATCTTCCCACAAATGCCATAAACAGCACTTCTCTGGGCAAACAACACAGTGCTCCATCTCTATCACGCGGACAATGTCTGCAACATCAGAAACAGTATATGGGTTGCATTGTTGCAATAGTAAGCAAGGGAACACACATTAATGGCATACCACGCAGGGTGGCCTCCCTGTGGGACACAGATCGTTTGGCTCAGCAGACTGCACTGCAGGGGGAGTTTCATTCCAGTCTCATCAGTCTCCGTCCTCCATTGGCCCTGGCAAGTGTTCTGAAACAGATCATCGCCAGCCCGGGGTTCCATCAAATGATGAAAGGGTGCATCATTGTCATTTGAAGTTCAGGAGCAATCGGGCCAGAGTGAATTAGAAATGGGGGGGTCAGATGCAAGGAGTGGAAGCTGATCAGCCACACTTGTACTCAGAGTGGTGGTACCCGTGTGAATGCTGCACAGATGGCTGCACCTCGTCTCTTGTCCACTGGCAGGCCCCCAGCGCTGCAAAAATCACCACAACATTGTGGACATCGGAGTGGGTATGTGCCGCTCCTGGCTCGCACATATTGGGACCGACAATGTCGATCTCTAAGGTTGCGAGCTAATGAGAAGATCTCAGACTCCCACGGGCCTGCGAGATGATCATACTGTTCATGTACAAACGAGGTCGCTGTCTGCGAGACGACGGCGGAGATTCAAAACATCTGGCGTAAGAGAGGCACCTGTGACGGCCAATCTGACCATTAGCGTGTCGATGATGAAGACGATGACGGAAGGGGAGGAGGAGGAGGAGGAGGAGGGAGAAGAGGGGGAGCCAGTAGGTGGAAAAGATGGTGAAGCAGAAGATGCAGGTGAGGAGCACGCTGCTGAACGTGAGGAATCAGCATGTGGAGAATCAGTGGGGAAAGGGGGGCAACAACAGATTAGCCCTTCGCACAGCTTGACCACTGAGCTCTCTGTCTTATAGGTCACCTTCAGGACTGGGCTACAGTTGCTCTTCAGTCTGTGGAGAAACAATGGCAGGGTGGTGGCAATCATCCCCTGAAACCACCTTGACAACACTTGTGTTGCCTGCTACGGAAGGTGTAGGGTTTGCCAGGACTGCAGCATCCACATCAGCAGGCGCCCGACTGGCAAGGGCTTGCCCAGTGCGCGTGGCTGTGTGGACTGATGCTGCATGTGCTCACGTTTGGCATTCCACAGTGGGCGGGTAAGTGACCAGTGAACCATGCGGCAAAGCCACTTCGTAAGTAAGCGGAGTGACCTGAGTCAGCAGCTGATGCTGCTGGTGACCCACTTTTTTTGTGTGTGTGCGTGTGTGTGTTGTCATGTTCGCATATACACAACTCCACAAAAAAGCACGACCGTGTATGTGTGTGTGGGAGTGCGGGGATTGTGTAAGGACAAATGCAGTGCATCATCTGCATGACAGGATCTACCACATATCTTCATGAGTTCACGCTTTCTTCCAATGTATTGCACCTGCATCGGAACCCGATTGACACAAAACATTCATGCCAAAGGAATGACGATAAGATCAGATGTGAAGCATCTAGCTTGTCGCTTTTGGCCATTTACTATTGACTAAACAGTATCTCACCTTGAGCAAGACGTCGCCTGTGAGGGTTGGTACGCTAATGTTTCCGCCCAAAATCGCCTGATAAAATGGCAACGTCACGTACACATGAATGTTGGAACCCTCCCTTTGAAAAACTGGGTCCTTCTTGACCTGCAGAAGAACATAGACCCAATCGCCCCCGCATCAAAGAAAGTCAGAACAGCAACACAAACCCGTTCTCGGGGCTCAACTAAAGCTTCCTCACCAAATTTTAGATTTAGAACAAATGAGCTGTGGAATACCAGAACAGTGACAAGAATGTCTTTGCAATTTTTTTTCTATGTGATAAGATCAGAATCATGAGATCCATATGATTGGATCGCTGCTAGACCTTCTGTCATGCTGGGCTATCCGCATTCCAGTTTTTTGCATACTTGAGGCGCATCCCGTGAGCGGGGTCACGGCACATGCGGCGCAGAGGGCATGCGCATGCACGCGCGCACACGTAATGCGGGACATCACCACAAAAAAAAATAAAAAAATTAGAAGGACAGGGTGGGGTGGCCAAACATGCCCCTCGCTTCTGAAAATCAAACTGCAAGAGGGAAAAATGTTAGGGCCACCCATACCTCAACACTGAGCACATGTGTGTGCATGTCCTAATTGTGTCCAGACTCATTTCGAAAAGGCCCCTACGAATTAGCAAGGACCCCTCGTGGAGCAGAGGTAGACATTAGACTTCCAGTTTGTCTGTGTGAGCCGATAATATATGGTCTGGATGCGAATTCAGGTCTGTGCATCACAGTTTTGGGTCACTAATTCTCTGTTTTCTCGTTTTTCTTTTGTTTTCTCGTTTTTCTTTTCTTAGGAGTACGTGCAGTCGCCCTAAGGGCCTCTACTCACCACATACACAAAAGACAAAACATATCGCGGCGTATTATACCACGTTCTAGCAGAAGATTCATTCCAATTCTGCACATTTGCAGTGGCCCTAAGGGCCTCTACTCACCACATGCACAAAAGACAAAACATATGGTGTCTCGTATTATTCCGCGTTCTAGCAGAAGATTCTAATTCTGCACATTTGGTGAGTACTGCAGCCAAGCCCTGAGAATCACGTGCAGAGACCAAGAGGACCTAGCTAAGTGAGCAACCCATAACTGCTAAAACACAGACCTGAATACGAATCCTGTATATATTGAGCCAGCTCGTGCTCCACTTCATATTTACTGCCTGCCTCGATTTTATTGGAGGTCCTTGCTAAATCGTTACCAGGACACTTCAGATTGCCTGCATGGGCCCTCTGATATGTGTGAAGGGGATCCTTTGCTCTTTCTGTGTGTGTGTGTGTGTGTGTGTGTGTGTGTGTGTGTGTGTGTGTGTGTGTGTGTGTGTGTGTGTGTGAGCATACACACACATCCCTCGCGTACAAGGCTCGCCATGAGCCAAAAAGGTAACTGACCTCTTGCAGTATCAGTGTATCGCAACAAGAGGGGGGAGGGGGGGAGGGTAATTCAAGAAAATGAATAACATAAGGGAACTCGCACCACCTGTCGCTCCTACTGATTGAATGGTCTGGTGTTAAGTGTCTGGATCGTGGTGGCGGTTTGCTGCTAGGGGTGCTGTGAGAAGTTCTTTGAAAACCTTATCATTTAGAGGAAGGAGAAGTCGTAACAAGGTTTCCTTAGGTGAACCTGCAGAAGGATTGCTTAAGGGAAAAAAAATCAAAAAAGGAAAAAAACAAAAAAAAAACAAAGAGAAGGGAACTCTTACACACAGGAGTACAAAACTTCCGACAACCAAAAAAAGGACAAAAAAGCTAGGCTACCAGAGTTCCCCGGGGCAAGTTGCCTGGCCGGGCAAAAGGAAATAAAACATAAAAATCAAATAAAACTCAAATTTGGTAAAGAATTTCGATGTGACCGAGAGGCAAAAGTTGTTCAGCTTATTTTTCGGCATCACATTATTCATTCACATAGTTTTTTTAACTTTTTTTCAGGTTTTTTTTTTTTTTTTTTTTTTTGCTGGGCGCTTCGCAGGTCCACGCACGGCCGCGCTGCCCGGTCAAACAAGGCGACCCGGGCGGCCTGGCTGGTAGCCCAGCACAAAAGACAAAACTCTGAATTAACACAATGCAATGACAAGCTTCCGCGGAAGTGCCAATCTTCAACTCAATCATTACAATCCTCAACATGCACAGGCCGTTGCTAAGCAAACACCATAAACTCACCAATAACCTCACAACTACATCTCCTCGCCGACCATTCGGTAATATGTGACCCTCACCATCTAGCTGCATGTCCATTCCTGAGTCCACACCTGCAGACACAAGATAACAACGATGCACACACATCAACAAGTACATAGACAATAGAAAACAAACACACAAATCAAGTGAACAACACCGCACACACATCGACAAGTACATAGATAATAGAAAACAAACACAGAAACACAAGCCTAACTCAGCTGGAAACACCCATGAACTGTTGAAATGCAGACCCGAGCTCGAATCCAGATAGAATTACCGTTCAATTACGTGAATGAAATCAAATTAGTACTGAACTACCTTCACAATGACATCTCCATACCATCACCTTTTTTTATCTTAAAACAACAACAACAACAACAACAACAACAACAAACATTCAAAAAAATCAAAATGGCAGTCTTCCCCCAGGCATCAAGACGAAAGAAGAGTGCCAAGGGTAGCAAAAAGCATGTGTGTACACAATAAGGAACACAGTTATGGTGAGACAGGCACGAGGAGGAATACCTGCAGAACCACTGGAACATGCGCGCTAATCAAACAGAAGGGCGGCCACATCGTGGTGGCCCGCATCAGACACAAAGCAAGATTACCAGAAATTATCTTTCGGTTTCCGACTTTGCAGACTAAAATATATTCGATGATGGATAACCTACATTTGCACTTTCGGAGGATCCCACATTCCAACCAATTGGGAACTTGGGATCCTTAGGTGGTGGTCCCCACATCTTGCACAGCCGAGGCATCATACGTGCGCTATCGACTTTCGTTGATCGAATCTGACAGCGATCACAGACAAATGCTTTTACCTTATTCCCCTAAACACAACGCACATCACCATGACCGTATACAAACCCCGTCCAGCCATGACTCTGGGGCATTATTTTCAGGAGGAGAAGGTTGTCATGGCCTTATCCGTCGGTACCAGTATCCCAATGTCGACAAAAGCTCTCAAACAGATGAGAATGCGAGGAATGAGCCCTCCCGCGGCCCTTATCAGACATGCAAGTGTTCTGGGCTGCGCCCCCCAGAAACCCCATGCTTGCCCTAAGTGAGGGCGGGAATATCCAGGCCTATTTTTGCCATTTTTCGTAAGTGGGGAATCAGATGGTTGCAGCACGCCAGCGAGTCGGGACCACGACGAATATAACTTAATAGGTCAAAGTGTCCGATTGTGAATTTGAAAACACGGGTTCAACTCCCGTTATTCGCCTCTTGCATCTGAACTCTGGCGAGCCTAAAATTCTTCTTTTTTCTTTGTTGAGGGATATAACTCGGCGGTGGAGTGCCACCTTGACATGGTGGAAGCCATCAGTTCAAGTCTGATTATCCCTAGATTGATGGAACAACTAATTGGAACGACAAAACCCCAAATCCAAAATCCAAAATACTGTGTTCTTGAACACAGTATTTTGGATTTGGGATTTGGGATTTGGGATAGGATTATCTAAGAAGCTTTGCAATTGAATTGAATTTATTATGAGTGGACTACTGTTTTAAATCCACCTTTGGTTGGTTTTCCCCAAGGAGAAACGGACCTTCGGGTGAAAGGGAGTCTTATGTACTGATGGTTTTGACGAAGATTCTGTGAAACTTTTAGCTCATTATTTAGAAGTTGTTTGGAATGTTTACACACATGTGGGACCCATTCAAAGAGATCGTAAATATGGGAATTGTAGTAAAATATATTACCGGCTCTGGTTCGGAACAGAAGAACTCGAAAAGTTTCTTCGAATTATCTTGCCATATATTGGAAACACTTGAACTCTCAACCCCCAAATCCGTAGTTTGGTGCTCTATCCAATTGAGCTACAAGCACATTCATTCGTCCCTTTCGTCTAGGGGTATAGGACATCGCTTTTTCATGGCGAAGACACGGGTTCGGGGACTCATCACAATCCCGCAATGGTGTACCTTGGCGGTCTGCATTGGTGTTGACGTCACGTACATTGGTCTTCAACATCGAAGTGATCCTGTTGCATGAACCTAGATAGGATAGATAGGCTGAGTAGTGTAGGCTGAGCGCTGGGCGCCAGACTGTAGGGGCAACATTGGATACTGTGTTGGTGTGGCCAGAGAGCGTTGACATTGGCACATGAGTTCATTGTACTGCTTTTATTTGGATGGTATCTTGGTGCATTTGTGCTCTTTGCTTGGTACACGACTGTCTGGACTACTTCATGATTTTGCAACTTGGTTTTCTGCCTATCGCTCTCGCTCATATTCCTTGCAAGAATCACGCAATGGAGAAAGCTGACAGAGGGCAAGAGATCAAACCATGTGAAGTCACATCGTAAGTTCATAATTCATGGTGACTTGCGAACTCTAGGGATGATTCGCCAACATGACAGTCTGTGTACAATCTTCACAAAAAAAAAAAGCGTTTGCAGACCAACCCCCAGGCCCCAGGGTGTAAAAAAAAAAAAAAGAAGAAGAAGAAGAAGACCAACGCACAGGAATATGGAACCTACACTCCTCTACCACCTACAGTTCAAAAAAAAGCTGCTGCACTGCCAGCTCACCTGCTGGTATGTCGACATCAATAGTGCGATTGACTGGAACAGTCCCTTTGCCTCGGCATGGGCGACATTGCTCCTGACAAAACAGACAACAGCCCATCAATTCAACAGCAGCAACAAAAAAAAACGTTTAGCTCCATGACACTGGATTGATACCCAGCGTCGAGGGCTGAAAAGTGTGCATGTATAACTGTTGCTATATAGATCATGAGCTTAAATACTGATGTATACAATCATTTCGACTTCATCCCCTTCACGGGCCTTCAGAAGAAAAAAAAGAGAAAAGAGGTCATCATGAGGATCACTGTCGTGTACCTCAGTCACTCCACAAAAGCACGACAGTCACAGATGCTCGCAGTTCGGAAATTCAAAACTGAAAATAAACCTGTGATGAGGTTGACTAGACATTCCTAGGTTCCTCATTCCAAAGGACCGGGAGAGAGCGAAAAATCAACAGGTAACATGCCAGCTCAATCTCAGCCAAGGGTATGAATGGCCCAACACGTGCATGTAACTGTTGATGGAAAGACCAGCAGTTCAAATTGTCATGAATCATACGGATACAATTATGTTAGGGGCTGCAGTGGCCACTATATCCTTAAAAAACACAAAATCCATAGCAGCAGCAGTGAATGTGTTCGGCCTGTGTGTCTGCATCAGGTCCACGGATTCCACGTATACCAAACACGGACATTGAAAACAACACTTCTTATTCCCCTGTCCAGCTCCATTACCACCCTCCTCTGAGACAGTGTAACTGTCCATCCCCTCAACCCCAATGACCCATCCCAGCCTCCCTGAATCGCCCACTCCCTGTCATCACTGATCTCGCCCAGGATCCAAAAAGCGCAGTTCTGTCATCTGTGTCTGCATGTCCAGCCGAGCATGGCCGCGCCCGGCGTTCTGTGGACGTCCTCAGATTGCACGAACAGCCGGCATCACTGCTATGACAAAAGCGCATTCACAAAACAAAGAGCCGGCCTAGCTCAGTTGGTACGCCCATAAACTGTTGAAATATAGACCCAAGTTTGAATCTAGATGCAATCAAAGGTTGAGAATCACATTCATGCACTCAGTTACCTTGACGAACTGCCCTCTACCTTCGCAGCTCATACAGGTAGACTCCATCATGAAAAATCCTCTGGTCATGCTAACCTGCACACATGTCAACAACGCAAGCACACGGCCCAGGTAGTCAACAACTGAGGCAGATCAGCCAATTCGCATTCACACTTGCAAGGCCAACATAATGCACTGCTTAGAACTCACGTCGAGGAGAAGGGAATTGCAGAGACACGGCAGGAGTCCAGGGAAGGGGTATTCGGAAGCTATCACATAAGGCCAACATGAGCTTCTGCTAGGACCGTTAAGTTGAGGGCCACGGAGATAGCATACAGAAGATAGGAGTCCAGGTAAAAGGGGTTTTCATAAGCCATTGCATATAGTCACGGGTGCGACTTTCGCCTCCAAAGTTTATGAGCTGCTGTGAGGATATGCTTTGAAGCTATAACACATAGTCGGGTGCAATTTTCCTTTTTAAAGTTGGGACGTCAAACTGAACAATTCCTATGAGCTGCTGGGAGGATAAGCTCAGAAGCTGTAACATATAGTCAGGTGTAATTTTCCCTTTTAAAGTTGGGACGTCGACCTGAACCATTCCTATGAGCTGCTGTGAGGATAAGCTCAGAAGCAGGAGGAACTGAGGAGGGAAGGTAGGATCCCAGCAGCAAAAGGGCTGTGTATAAGTTACCAAATATAGACAGGTGTGACTTTCACTATCGACAAATTTGGTAAGTCGACATGGCTGCTATGAGCTGGCATGAGATTACAGTTCAGGAGCAAAGAGAGATAAGGAAAAGAGAAGGTAGGACCACAGCAATAGGGGAGTTGAGAAGCTATCAGATTACAGTAAGGCCTGACTTTCAGCAACTCCAGATGAGAATATAGGGCTGGGAGAAGTGATGAAGTCCTCAAGGACTTCAACAAACAGAAGCTGGCTGCCTACTCTCCCACATCCGGCCAATCCTGGTGGTCAGATCGACAGGAGAGAGGATCAGACGTGTAGAGGACGACCCATCATCAACATTCAAACAATCGAACAGGATGCCTAAAAGGCGGAGAGTGAGGTCACACTAGGACCTTTTTACTTACTTATGGATGTCATTGCGGTCAGATACATCCGGGGTCCGGCCGTAAATGCAGTCAGGTACATATGAGATAGAGATAGTGTGAGTACGCCATGAGACAGGAAGGGATGAGGGGGAAATGTTTGATAAGCGCACATACCCGTCCTGTTCCACGACATGTTCGGCAAGTCTGTGGCTTGACACCAGGGGGAATACCAGAGCCTCCTGTCCCAGAGATAACACACATCACATTCCCCAAATGCCCACCGCACGCAGGAGGTTTTCAGCAACATGATCAGTTTTGTTCCTTTGTTTTCGTCGCTTCAACAGACTTTACAAAAATGCCAATTTAACAGCTTTAACTTTTATAACATCTTTAGAATATTTAATACAAACCATTCTTGCAGCACATAATGTGCACAGGAATGTGCCGCGCACTGTGCGACACACTTGCGTGCAAAGAGCAAAAGAAAGAGGGTCGGGAAAAAAGAATGAGAGGGGGGGGGGGGGAGACATGGGGAGCCAATGATAATTCATCTCTTCAGCAAATAATAAGTACTGTGGCGGCAATCATGCTGCCACCTTTCCTTGTTTTGACAGCACATGTTACATCTTCGACGCCACACGGGTCCTACCGGACCCGACTTAGGGCTAGAGGGACACATCAGGGCCAAAAGGCCCGACCTTGGGGTACTACAGGCCATAAAGGCCTCACCTTGGACCAGACCCGACGGGCAGGCCCAAACGACATTACCGTTTGGGCCTGGTGGCGCTCTTGAGGCTGCCGCCCGCCGGTTGGGGCTGAACCGTCCATCTGGATGGTTCAGGGCACGGCCAGGCCTCGCAGCATTGAGGCCGGCCTCTGCCCCACCGGTATATAGAACCGGCCCGGCCTCACTTCGAGGCATCGACCCACCGGTATACGATACGGTGCGGTAAGGTCGGCACCAGAGTGCCGTTGGAGCGCTATGTTTAGCGCAGGAGCGAGGAGCAGGCAGCGCAGCGTTAGCGCAGCAGCAGCAAGCGGAGCAGCAGCAGCGGCAACTGGGTTACCGGCGGCCATAGCCGCCTGAGGTACCGGGAGTTGGAGGTTTCTCTCCTCCCTCCCATCGCCAGTCCCCTCTCTCTCCCTCTTCTTCTTCTTCTTCTTCTTCTTTTTCTTCTTCTTCTTCTTCTTCTTCAGATTCTTCTGCTTCTTCTTCTTCTTCTTCTTCAGATTGGAGACTTATACTAGTTGGACAGAGATCAGTGTTGGACTTCGGTGGTATGAGACTGTGGTACTTACCGGATTGGAGACTTGGAGATCGTTGATACTTGGCGACATCACAGTTCAGACACCGGTTACATTCGGACTCTGTATCCCCGACATTGGTGACCTATGGCCCTCGACACTTTGATCTTGTTGGATGACATTTTGGACTACCATATCGGTGACCTATCAGATTCTATCTCGGTGACTTTCGGTGCGGTCTACCTCCCCCCACCTCTTCGTCTCTCCTCCCCCATTCATCTGTGTATGTGTGTACGGGGCTGAGCACCTTATATGTATGGCTCAGACCCCACACCTCACAATTGTATGTGTGTGGAGTGATGCTATGTGAGTCAGTCTATGTGAGTCAGTCCGTTTATCAGACTTCCGTTGCAGATATGCTCATCCTACATTGGTTGATCCTTGGTTCTGCCCATACTCATTGGAGTATGTAACAGCACAATAGGGAGAACACTTGCGTGGGCCAGGTGGCATCCGTTGAACTTGTGCAGTAAAACAGTTTCGCTTTTCCTCCTCTTTGTGTGCATGTCCATGTCATTCAAGATCTAGAAACCAAGCGATGATGCTCTTCAGCACAAACACAACAACAAGCTCCGACCAAAAGAATCACCTCACAACACAAAAGGCGAAAGACTCGGAAAGGGGAGCAAGCAGGGGACAACGGGGAAGCAAACTCGCTTTTTCTGTTTCTGGAATTTCTTCAGAATTGCTTTCTTAAAATTTTCCTCACTTTCGTTTTCTTCTTTTCTTTCTTCCTGTTTCAGTTTATTGGCACTTGTCTCGCCTGTCCATTTCCTCTCTTTTTGAAGCCGTCATCGTCTGATTGTGTGGTTCACACACCCAATCATCCAGCAAACTCAGGTCAGTAGTGGCACTTGGAGCGATCAGGATGCTGAGGCTGTCTTTCAACAGCAATCCCCAGAGTTGCATGGGCTCGCCTAGTGCACTACACTGGACGCATAGAGTCAATCGAGGGACCACTAAGGCATGAAATGAAAAGGACAACATTAAACCTGATGCCGATTAACAACAAAGCTTGAGACCAAAGCTCCAGGCACTTTTCGAGTGTCTGGGTATTGCCATGGAGATAGATGGAGATGAGCCGCATCAGCAACAAGATTTGACTCGCAGCACCCGGATAGCTGCAGTCATGGACATTCATTCAGGGCCAACCAGGCCATTGAGAACTTATCACATTGCATTTGGGTCTCCGTACCTTCGGTGAAAGATGTGAAACGACCAGGCTGTGCCATGGAAAGCTTCTGGTGAACTATGCGGTTGACACCAGGCTGTGCCAATGAAATGGAGTCATAGAAAGCTTCGGTGAAAGAAACGGCCAGCGTCGCTTCGACTCACAGCACCTGTGTGACCAGGCTGTGGCAATGCAATGGAGTCATAGAAGGCTTCTGGTGCATTCAGCTGTGTAACCAGGTTGAATAAATAGCGCATGGGGTCGTAGAAACCATATCATTACTCAGCACATGAAAAAAAACTTGAAAAGAAGGCATTAGGTGAACTATCCGGTTGTGCTATTTCTTTTACAAATTCAGGACACAATGCCATGGCATGACGATGCCAAGATGTTCGAATTCAAGAAAGAGGCTGGGGGAGAGGTGAGTGGGGGGGCCGGGGGGGGGGGGGGGAAATGCCAAAGGGGCACAGAGCCCTCATGAANGGGGGGGGGGGGGGGGGGTGGAAATGCCAAAGGGGCACAGAGCCCTCATGAACAAATCGAGCACAGTGTCATAGACCATAAAAAAGCAGTGAACTTACTGCAGTCGGAGCACCGATCTGTCGTCATAAAGTTTATCCTCTTCGTGCTTCCTTGGACTGCCTCCATAAACGACAATTCGAGAGTCACCTGCAACAGAAACAGTAGCTTAGCTGTCAGATTCGAAGTACTGGAAAGCATGATAGCAGCAACAAACAGGTCCAAGTCGGCCCCCAAAACGCAGTGCCACCTGTTCCTTTTCAATTGCTTTTTCATTGTTTACTTCTATTTTTTTGGCTACTAGACCAGATGCAGTCAGATGAGCAGAATTAAATAATTATGAATCGCCTGAGGGAGGTCAGTTCAATGATTTCCCAGCCATTTAACAAAACAACAACAACAAATGCTTTTTCATTTTATTTTATTTCTAGTTGCTTTTTTAATTTCTAACGAGCACTAAAGCACAGAGTGTGAACCAAGGACAACTTGGTGTCCCAGCTGCTTGGGGTCTTCTTGGTGGACATACGAAACTCGAAACATCAGATCTAAAGGGCATGGCCACAATTGCAAGCAACATCTAGCACTGTACAGCCATCGCAAACACGCGACTGGTCTTGGTAAGACCGTGACAATGAATTGCCATGAGTACTTGCAGCTTCATTCCCATCCATTTCTTTGCTTTGATCCCAGATTCACATGCGACAACAATTCGCATATTGCCGCTTTTGGGGGAAAAGTGCAGACTCAATTTTAGCACTGGCAACAGACCACCCTCACATCACCTGCCCTAAGCTAGGGTACAGTAAGCGGCAAAAGTGACGATCTTTCTGGCATGTATTCAGCAGCAAGCATGTGCATGTTTTTCAAAAGAAGTAAAATTGGAAAAGCAAACTGCTGGCACAAGTTCTCGGTAGTTACAACCACTGGCTGCAAAAGAACCCTAAAGCACAAGCTGTGCTGCCGTGCACGACAATCAACAGGATGCATAACAAGCTCTCTGATGGATCTGGTTCATGCACTATTCTGTCTCCCATACTGGGTCAGAGACGTGGACATATGCTACCGAGTCAGAAATTAACCCGCCTACGCATACACAAAGAGTCTAGGTAGTCACACAGTATAGCACATACAAAACCTTGAGTGATTCAGAAACAGGAAAAGGTGTGACAGGAAGTTCAAGCAAGCATGCACACACACACACACACACACACCACTGGTGTGAGAAAAGTCAACCACTTTTCTCAGGGGTATTGCTAACTTTGGGCGACGTGGTGAATCCTTGTCCATCAGTCAAATTCATCCTGGGCAGACGGTCGGGGTTCAACCTCCTAATGAATCAGTGAAAGTCCGACGAAACAGTCTGGCACAGTCATGCTTTTGTTGTGTATAGCAAATATGACAACACACACACACGCACACACACACACACACACACACACACACACACACACACACACACACACAAGATGCCCGAGTGGGGAGGGCTTACCAAGCAACCTCCACTTCAATCATTGAACAAGACAACAACAAAGAGTAAGGGTAACAGAAAACAAGAAGTGATATATCTGAGACCAGAGCAAAACGCACCTCAACCTGCTGTACCATTCTCTGCCCCCCGCCACCAAAGACCGCCTGGAACATCTGCACGTTTGCAGGAAACAGTAGGACGAAATCAGGAAAGGCAAGCAGCAGTCAAAGTCAAAAGAGTTGATATGTGAACTGAATGGTTTACACTTTTTAACTACTTGTCATACGCGAGGAATTAAGAAAAGCTCTCCCTTCCAAGTGCTTGCCCCTCGGTTTGCAAAGAACGCAAAAAGGGAAAAAGGGATGCATGGAGATCTGGTCAATAAGCCAAGCCACCCGATTTCACTCTGAGCCAACTTGTAAAATTCTCAACCGCAGCCCCTTTTTCAAAGCAAAGAGGTTGAAGGCTCCGAACTGGTTTGACAAATTGTGCTGTTGGATTCCACAGACATTATATAATACTACTATGCGCCATGAGTACCCTGCCGGTCCACTCCAATCAAGACATCGTCCACGTGGCAAAAACCCACCGGTCTGCTCTGATCACTAATCAAGGCATCATTTGCGTGGCAAAACCCGCCAGTCAGCTCCAATCGAAGAAGGCATCCTCCACATGGCAAACAGTGTGAAAACTCTTCATTCACTAGGGTAAAAAGTGGTATGGGCTTTTTCATGGGCCATCCCACATAACCCTCAGACTGAACAGGAGGGGCATCTCCAGACATCTCGACAGCTGCTAAGCAGGAAACCTGCCGGGCTGCGGGATGGGAAGCCACAACCTGCCCAGGTATTTGCTGGATTCGATGCCATTTGCTGTTTTGGTCTTGTGCAGTTTTGTACCCCAAACCTGATTACAGGATCGCTGTAGGCTCAGGCTAGAATAGGCCTCCTTACACCGGTGGAATCTAAATTTTTGATAGGAGACCCCGTGAGCATAGGGCAGACATAAATCGTCAAAATGGACGAGTAGGGAAAATTTTTCATTCACAGTTCATCTGTCAAGTTTTGCTGCTTGGTGAAACTGGCTGTCTGGTCGCACTAGACTTCACGCTGAAGAAGAGAGGTTTGCCACAGCCAGTGCGATCTTTCTGTACACTAATCCGCTCCCTTTTCCCCCGGCATTCACTGCAGGCTGCTCAAGCCAGCAGGACCCCTTTTCCCCCGGCATTCATTGCAGGCTACTCAAGCCAGCAAGACCCCTTTTCCCCTGGCATTCATTGCCGGCTGCTCAAGCCAGCAGGACCCCTTTTCTGCTGGCATTCATTGGAGGCTGCTCAAGGCAGCAGGACCCCTTTTCCCCCGGCATTCATTGCAGGCTGCTCAAGCCAGCAGGACGTTTGGTTCAGGGATAATGTTTCTCTCAGTTTCATCAATGCTCAATTTCAGTTTCATGTGAGATTCCAATCAAGTGTGATTCAATCTCAATCAGGGGAGGAAAGAACTAGTATGAGTAGTTTTGCAGCCGCACAAAGGCTTCGTCGTTCTGAGAAGCATCCATTCCTTTTCTCTTTTCTTTTTTGAAACAAAAAAAAAGGCCCTAATGGTCCAGGCTCCATGTCCAATCTGGGGAGCATCAGTCCGGTTCCTTCTCCCCTGGCAAGTCATGTGAATACAACATGCACGCACGCTTCCTTCCGTCTGGCCGAAGTACCCCTGAACAGCATTGATTACTCCCGGTATAGGGACATCCACACTCCTTTTCTAGATCAGTGATTTAAACTGATTTTCTAATTTACAGTTTCCTAATCAGCCACAGCATCAGCAACTCAGCGCATAAGCATTAGCACAACCAGAGCCCTCCGCGCCTGAAAAATAAGCACAAAGAGTGACAAAAACATAGGAAGGAAAAAGAGGGGATTCAACACAACATACTGTCCGTTTAGGGGAGATTTACCCATTGCTCAGACAAGAAGAAAAATGCACAAGTGCCCCCTGCAAAAATGAGATGGCCCAACAACCCTTGTTTGCTGGACACGAAGAGATGATCCGGAAAATGAAACAAGTCTTTATGCAGGGAACCTTATCAATAGCCACACTTCATACTCATCCCAGAGTCTTCAGGTTTTGTTTCTTTCCTCTTCCCTCTATAGCTCAAGTCCTTGGTTTATCAGAATGGAATGCATCGCATCTCATGAAATGGCCTTTACATGCTTTAGTTGTCACACCACTTCGTACTGTGGCAGGGGAAGGAGGGGGGGGCGCGGGGGAGGGGGGGAGGGAGGCTTTGAAGCTGACATGGCTACAGCTTTATAAAATAATAATGGGTGTGAAGGGCTGCAGGTCCCTGCTCCTGTGAAGTGCTCTCTCGTAGGGATGGTAAAGAACAAAGAAAGTTTAAGAAACCAACACATCCGGACTGAAAGTGCATGCAGATTTTACAGCATGACAACACTACAGCTAATGTGCACATAAGAAAAGAGGAAAGAGGAAAATAAGAAAGTAGTAAAAAGGTCGACAATAGAAACAGCACCTTCAAAGCATACATAGACAAAAAGGAGACATCAGTTTAGGATGTCCCTGTAATCTCTTCCAGGTGACCGAAGTCCACTCACCTCTTCTAAGCCACTCCCCGGAGGCCATCCACCTGCGCTGAACCCAGGTCCTCCTCCTCCTCCAGCTGCAGCGTGGTCCGAATATGAATCATGGCCAACCTGTTAAATTGCAAGAACAGAGATGTCATGAGGAGGAGGATTCAAACTTAGAATAAGGCCCATACTGTTGTATTGTGAGTTACTCAAAGTTTCAGATATTCATCAGGCTCAACGCGATAGAAATTACACAGGACGAAATGACGAAAAGAAGGGTAAAATATTGATGCAATGCCATTACTAAAATATGGCTACTGTTATTCATAACTTTTCTTGGTTAAGACGACCGATGTCCACGGATATCTAGCTCAAGAAGTTTCTCCGAACACATCTTCTTCGGCCTGTTCTGAATACTCCTTAGCTACGTTATGGAATTCCCAAGAAAAGGTGAATGTTCGGCATCAATTATCAGGCATCAGTCCTCAACAACTCAGACCCACCGGACCATATTCTTCTAACAATCGGAATGTATTATTTACAATCCTTAGGATTGACGATCAATGAAATTTACAAACCATGGGATTGAGAAGCCATGAGACACATACCTCTCTCTCTCTCTCTCTCTCTCTCTCTCTCTCTCTCTCTCTCTC